ATTCTAACCAATAACATAAATTATAATCACACCCTTCACAAATTAAGTTAAGCATTTAAAATTGCTGGCAATCAAATGCCCACCAAATTATGCCAACAGATCTACCCAACCTAAACTAGTATAGGTATCCACACAAAATCACTGCCCTGAGACGTGATTGCATGGGATAACTTCATTCAATTGAAACTTAATCGAAATAATAATAATAATAATAATAAAGGGGTTCTCTGATTGCGCAAAATCCTTCCTTTGAACTCAAATTATATGTGCCTTCACTCAAATTGTTGCTTTCTCGCCCAAACTTCTTTTGTTGAATGCCACAATCTGCCCCGCCTACCAAAATCAAACTCTTGCTTTATTAGGCTTCAAACCTCTCCAACTACCAATCAAAGCAACCTGCAAGCTTCGCCATCGCACAAACCAACAACCCGCAGCCACCGCGAAGAAAGCCACTAATTAAGTCAACCTGTGCGCATCAAGTTTTTTATTTTGTTTTTTATTTTTTATTTTTGGGTATTTTTAGGTTTTGAAAGAATGATAGATAATTGCAATTGCAGTTCAAACAAAAGGAAAAATGTAAGTAAAGAAAGAAAAGGAGAGATGTTTTACAAGACGAGGAGATCCAAAGGAAGAAGTTCGCTGCGCCACCAAAATTTTTCCTATCTTGCCTAAAAGGATTTTTTCATACCATTGCCTCTCAATTGTGATTTTGAATTAGTACTTATAGGATTTTGAAAAATCTAATTAAAATAAAAATGAGATCTACACCAAAATAATAAATTGGCCCTGGCTTGCTGAAAATTGACCAAGGGATCGACTCCTCAAGACGAAGTGCCGACACCTTTAGTAAATTTGGTGGATGGAGTCCGTGTCGGACTTTTGGGCCAAAATGCAATTTTATTTAATGGCAAAAAACAACAGTACTGGTCCCTGCCTTCTGGTTTCTGTGCACGTTAATCTTCAGGTGCCTTATCTCTGCAATTTACTCTTAAAAGTTATGTTTTCTTACAATTAAATCCTTTTTTTTGCAAAAAAGTAAAAATTATATAAAATCAAATAAAATCGTATAAAACTCATTCAAATATTAATAATATTAAAACAAAAATTCTACATTAATATTTAAAAAATTCTAACCTATCACTCATTACAATAGGATTTTCTAATAAAACACTAACTATTCATGGTAGGGTCTTTATCTTATCTCAATAAAAGATGAAACCATGATTATTGGAAGATTTTTCAATCAAAATCCATTTTTCATTAATGCAGGTCTATGTTGAAAATTTGGTACAAGCTAGAAGCATAATATATATTCTAATTGGCATTCCTTGGAAAAGGTGGAAGGAGTTTGGAATGAAAACTGCTAACACACATCTACTTCTCTAAAGCAATTAGGATAACATCTGCTAGAGAACCCCACGCCTGGCCCAGTGGCCTTCACCTTTGCTGTAAGTGGGGATCTACCTCTTGTGGGTGCCTGTTCAACTTCTTTTAACAAGAAAAAAATCTGCTAGAAATTCCCTTTTCCGATATAACTAACATAACATATTATTTGTGGTGCATCTGCATCCCAATAGCCAACAGCTGGTGGTAAGCTCATTTCAGCAAAATAGATACCCAACTGAGAAATCCATGGCAAACTTCTACATAAGAAGCAATGCAGATTCTGGAGGAAGTGATTAGCAACTGATTAATTCATCATAGTTCTACGTACACACAAACTGAAAACATCATCCAATGTAGAATATAGAATCATCGTTAGACGATCATCTAACGTCTCCGAGGACCTTCATCAATTAATGGAGTTACTTAATGGTGAATCATGGGGGAATTTGTATTTCTATCTTCAGGCGTCTGTAAATACTAGGGTAAGAAGTGAATATAATTAGATTTGGCTAAGCATTTAGATCAGTGGCGAAGCCTCATTAAAATTTTAAATTAGTCCTTAGATTTTTTAATTTAAAATTTTCATTCTTAAATTTTATTTTATTTACTTAATTATTCTTAATATTTATGAAAATAATAATTATTAATTTTTTTTTGTAAATCTCTTGTCATTAAATTAAAAATAGAATGTTAATATAAAATTAGTAACTCTTTAAAGATAATCTATTAACTATAAAAATAGTCATTTTTAATATCTAATATTTTTAGCCAAAAAATTGATAAGAAAAATTTTGAATTTTTTAACAGTTATTTATCATTTAAAAAAAAAAAAAAAACCTTTGATCATTTCCTTTGTAATGTCTAAAATTAGTCTAAAATATTCATTTTAGTTACTAATATCTATTTTTTTTATCAAATATTAAAATTTCACATTT